GCTGAGGCCACTAAAATCAATCTTCATCATTTTCCTTAAAAATTAATTGAAATATGAAATGTGAAATGCATGGTTGCCATTAGAATAATGAACTACACAAAAGCCATATGATTTCTAGATATATATCAAAGACATACTGCAATATTTATAAATAAAGTATTAAAACCACAGTTTTAACCAAGTAAATGACTAGCAAGATGAGGCACTTTATAATTACAAGCAACTTTTAATATTAAAAATGAGGAGGCTACACCAATCCTTAGTCTAATTTGTAAACTGCAACAAATGGCATCAAAACACTTCCAATCCAAAGCTTTCCATCCTTCTCCTCGACTTCGCTCACAACTTTAACTACTTTTCCTTGTCTGTCCTCCAAAATCTTTAAAAGTTTACCTTCAGGGCTGTACTTCACGATCACTACTTGAGGAGAGCCTCCAAGTTGCATTAGATAATGGAGCTTCACAGGAATTGGAAGCTTCAGCCAGAACAATCTGAAATTCTGAGTTTTGGGTATAGAGCCAATAAATGAGCATATATGGTTCTTCAACTGTGAGTTTTGGGTATAGAGCCAAAAATTGATGCCATCAACACCATCTCCATTGCCAATACGGCAATCCTCACTTGTCACCCAGTCACTGTCGGCACCACCACAATACCAATCAACACAGTACATGAGAAGGCATCCTTTTCGGGCATCTAATCAAACAGTCTCAGAATAACCTCAATATTCTCCCCGCCACACTTTACATAACCATCCAACAACACATTCCACGAAATAAAATCTTTCTCAAGCATTTTATCGAACACTTTTCGTGCAGAATCAATATCACCACATTTTGAATACAAACTCACCAAACTACTTTCCTCATGAACACCCGAACCAGCCCCAAACCCGAGTTTTAACGCCAACCCATGAATCATTTTCCCTTCCTTAATAGTCCTTAGATTCGCATACGCCTTGATCACACACGGTAATGTGAACTCGTCGGCAACATCCCTAGGAAACAAAGCAAATCCACAAAAACCACAAGAGCGTCCTGAGAGCGACGACTTTGAAGGAAGCATTTGATAATGGTATTGTAAGAAAAGATAGTCATATTAACGGGTTTTTCATTGTTATAGATACTGCTCTGATTGTTGTTGGAAAGAATGGTTGAAGTGAAGATGGGTTGAGCGCGGAGTTGGGTCAGTTCTTTCGCGTTTGAAGTTCGCCGGAGAGAGTGTCGGCGATGGACTTCCGGTGAGAGGCGAGGTTGAACAATGCTGGGATGGAATGATGCGGCCAGTTGCAGCATTTCTATGCACGCGTTGTTCAATTAATTGGGGGGTTGAAATAGGTAGATTTAAAATTTTATTAATTATAATTAATAATCCTAATTTTCACCTGATTTTTGAAATGTAAATTTTATCACCTGATTTTTGAATTGTAATATTGAAAAGAAATGTTTTTGGTAATTTTCTCAATTAAAAATGCACTTTTTAAAAATGAAATAAGAGAGAGAATCAGACTTACAATCGTAACCCCGTTTCCTCCTCCTTGTGCAAAATCCTCTACAGTGAGGAACCCTTGTAATTTGATACACCTTTTGCAAAAAATCCTCCAACCTACGTTTCCACTGCTCGCAACCGCGATTCAACCTTGTTCGATTCAGCCTGGTCATCCAGTCCGCCACGCGGCCACCACCATTCTGCCCACCGCCAACCGCCAATCCAAAGGTCAGTTTTTCTTTTCTTTGCCTAAAGTTCAATCATTATCTGATTTTGGAATTTCAAATTTCGAAATATATTTGTGATTTTTGATTTGTGATTTGTGATTGGTGATGAACGAATTGTGATTTGTGAATGTAGATTGTACATTCATCCACTATAAATTTTGATGAGTGCAGATTATATTGAAATTAAAGAGAAATTGGTTTCTTTAGGAAATAGGAGATAAGAGAAAGCAGGGAAAAGAATGAATACTATGCTTAAAATGTCGTGAATTTGGAGAATACCAAAAATGATACTTCCATAAGCAAAACTGATTTCACATAATTTTCATTGAAATAATTCCTCATTCCTTATGCTTGGGCATATATTCTTTGAGGTTTTTTTTTTTGCTGTCAAATAAAGAAATTAAGGTTGGAAGACGTTGTGAACAGTCTAAAGTCAGTTTCTCTGGACTAATCTATCTGTACCCATTCAGCAATCAGCATATATTTAGTGCTTGTTTTGGTTTCATTATAAGTTATTTATATTATAATGTGATAGAAATAAGTGGTGGATAAATGGGTAATAGTTGAAGGTCCTGCAAAATGTGTGGTTAAAATTGAGATTTGACATTGTCATATAAATTATAAGGATATTTTAATGAAAGACAAAAATACTCTTATTATCATTGTCTGCCATTCTAATTGAAATGAAGTAGTTGAATGGATTGAGTCCGTGGTAGCTTGTAAAGTTATTATGCATACTGAAAGTGCTCTTATTATCATTGTTTGTGGCACTTAATTTTTTCATAACTTTTTTGTAAGTTTGATTGTGCCCTCCAACTCAAATTGTCTGCGTCCGTGGTGGCAATATTACCCTCCTTCAAAAGTTTCTTGTCAATCCTTCATTTTAAAATATTATAGATAGATAGATATAGATTGTAGATGTAGATGTAGATATATAAAGCTTTGACACAAGTTAGGCTTGTTGTCTAAATTTTGACTATGCTATTCTGAATAATCCCGAATCCATTTCATCTCGAGTCATTCTATTTTCTTTATTCACTTTCGGTGTCTCTCTCTGCAGAATAAATTTAAGATGAAATTAAACAACCTAATCTCTCCTATCATATAAACTAATGTTTTTTCGCTGTTATGGGTAATTTTATTAGTGAATTTCATGCCTTTTGTCCTGAATAATTGCATTTGTTTTAAAAATGTTGATTTGATAACAGGAAATATGGAGGGGGATATACAGAATATCAAGAAATGGGTAGTGTTTTACCCAATTTACATTAATTCGAAGAAAACAATTGCGGAGGGTAGGAGGATCAATATCAGTAAAGCATGTGAAAACCCTACTTATGCTGAGATTTATGATTGCTGCAGCCACTTGAAACTCCCATGCGCTATTGAGGTATAACTTGTATGATGTATGCAGTTTTTAATAAGATTTTTAGTTTACGAGCATATATTTTGGGTATTTGTGTGAATTTTGATGGGTTTGTCAGGTTTTGTTTTATAATAATTCCTTAGTATTTATGCATATGATTTGTGCATTTTTTATGAATTTTGATGGGTCTGTGTGATCTTGTTATAAAAATTTCTTTAATAATTTTGCATATATTTTGTCTATTTATGCATGAATTTTAATGTTTTTACCTGACTTGGTTATATTATAGAGTGAGAAGGCATATCCTAGGGATTTTATGCAAAGAGGGAGAGTACGGGTTCAGTTGAAAAGAGAAAATGGGAGTCTATGCAATCCAGACATTTCTTCTAGTAAGCAAATTTTATTATTTTTCACATTTTGCGGCTTTCATATTGTTTCTTTTTTGTTTGATTATTTATTTTCGATTTTAGTGTGTGTTAAAGGAGATATAGCTCGGTATGGAGTCGAATTGGTTGATTCTTGAATTTTTTAGTGTGATCAATTCAGTTCTGTCTATAAACGGTAAAATAATGTCCTTTGAATGTGATATTAGTGTGCTATATCTCTCATGTAATTCATGAACATACATTATCCCGAATGACTTCATTATGCAGATGATGCTCCAATTGATGAGCTAATCCTCTCACTTAGCTTCTAATATGATAATAAAGATTATGTAAATAAGAAAAAATAGGAGGAAAACTAGTTGAGTTCATTTTAATTCTGAAGTGCTATTCTTTCAGTTTATTGAAAGAAATAAAGAGCAGGACTGCTTTGGACCACCATTTATTGAATTTTTTTCAGCATTGTTAAATGTTGAGTTTTTGCTCCATTCTCCATCTAAGCTCGTCGGTCTGTTTTCTCCAACATTAATAATTTTTAGTCCAAACTTTAACTGCCGAAAAGGACTTCAACATGGATATATAATATATTTGGAGTTGACAAGACGAAACAAAAGTAACATTCGTCCATCTAAACGATATCCTTGAATTTTACGAATAAAATGAACATTACTTGTTTCCATAAGACACTGTTTAAAATAATTACATTGGGCATTAGTCTTCTAATAGCTCGAGAAATTTTGACATTTTATATAAATTTTCTGCAACTGTAGATTGCACTTAGTGGAGATATTCTGACAAATTTTACCTCCAAACACAGTTTTGCCCTTCCATGCACACTACAGATTCAGTTTTAATATAATAAGAATTCCGGTGTGGAAGAATTGTTATTGTATGTTGACTATATAAAATTTCACTATCATTTGAGGTGCTTGTTACGGAACAAAATGCTGGGCAATATGCAAAAGAAGTGAAGATTACTTCAGTTGTGCTTAGTGGAGATATTCTGCCAAATTTTACCTCCAAACACAGTTTTGCCCTTCCCTGCACACTGCAGATTCAGTTTTAATATAATAAGAAATCCGGTGTGGGAGAATTGTTATTGTATGTTGACTATATAAAATTTCACCATCATTTGAGGTGCTTGTTACGGAACAAAATGCTGGGCAATATGCAAAAGAAGTGTAGATTACTTCAGTTATGCTTAGCAGAGATATTCTGCCAAATTTTATCTCCAAACACAGTTTTGCCCTTCCGTGAACACTGCAGATTCAGTTTTAATGTATATAAGAATTCCGCTGTGGGAGAATTGTAATTGTATGTTGACTATCTAAGAGGAGGAATGCGAAAATGCTGCTTTGGCTCTTCTCGCATAGCATCATACTTCTGTAGCAAATAGAATTATTTAGAGAACTTGATAGAAACACTCAACACGTGCACATTCTTGCCAATTAGTACAAATTCACAAAATATTCATACCATATGTCGATTTTTGATTAATCATTAATCTTATGATGTTCCAGTGTGCAACTACTGCGTGTCTTTTTTGTCTAACATGTTGGGATAATTTTACAGGGAAACAGCTAATGTTTAATGTAGCAGAGTTGGTCCCGAGGCACCCAGGTCGAACAAAGAAACAAGAACCAGCCTCCACCTCAACAGCCGGCCCTTCGAAATCTGGAAAGAGTGGCAAAAAGAAGCGATAGTTTCAATCACAAACATGTCACGTCTATCCTTTTAACTATTGAGGTGAGGCAACCCAGCTACCAATCTCCCAAATCTTACTCAGTTCGCGTCCTTTCTGTTCTTCGACTGGTTTTAATATTTGTGGACTTTGTTTTGCTGAGATTTATCTGGGACTTTTTTTTGATAAGAGATTTATCTGGGACTTGAAATTTACATTTGCAACATTAGTTAGAAATCCATGAAGGAGGATATAATTGATTATTATTATATAGATAGTGGAAAATAAGGATATAATTGTATTTTAATTGAAATAATTCAGTTTTTAATAGTTTATAAGGACCTATTTACTAAATATGAAGAAGTCGAGGACCCATAACTGGATAAGTATAAACTGAAGGACTCATTGCTATTTTACCCAATAATTTTTTTCTCATTTTTAAATGCTGCGGAGGTTTTAAACCGAAATTGGTTAAGCCATGTTTGGTTTAATTAAAAATTAAAATATAAATATAAATGGAAGTATATAATTAATTTTGATCAAATATTTCGTGAGATTTATAATTTTTAATCATGCAAAATTGTCAAAATTTACTAAAATTTGATTTTTATCTAAGCAAAAAAAGGCTAAATATCATAACCCAAATTTGCGGCTTCAATTAGTTATATAATCGTCTAACTGCTTGCTGGGATAAAATTTATAAGTTCATTAAACATTGATTTTAATCGTGCATTACTGAGACTCGATTCTTCCTTCTCGTTATAATCTCATTTTAATTTTAGGGAAATTTGCATTTTTCTTCCTAAACCATTGTGAAATGTGACAAATTTACCGTCAACACTATTGTAGCGTGATCCATGATCAATCTTTCAATTAAGTAGCAAACTCGTGACTCCCTCTATTTTGGCCATTAAATGACATATTTGATTTTCTCTTTAAATAAATAAAATAGTAAAACAACAAAAAATGAAAATTGCAAATAGAGTCGGATCACTTTTCAAATTACAAATAAATCAATTAAATATATATTAATACATAAAAAAATTAGAAATGTTTTGTATTCTCCAACCAAGCTCACCCACAAGACTTCCATAGCATTTTAGTCCCTAACTTATTTTTCATGACATGTAAGTCCTCGGCCAATTAAATACATTTTGGTTCTTTATAAGATAGATTTCACGATAGATAGTATATCATTTGACTTCCTTGTTGAGGTTTCTTCGCCACCCTCGTTTTTAATTTTCTCAAACTTTTCATCTTCACTAGGGGTATTCAAAAGTCCCGAATCGAACCCGAATCGAATCGAGCGGTTCTTCATAAGTTAAATACTCAAACGGATACCCGAATCGAGAACAGATAACAAAAAGGGTGTCAAACACTACCTAAGTAGCAAACTCGTTACTCCATCCATTTTGGCAATTAAATGACATATTTGATTTTCTCTTTAAATAAATAAATAAATATAAAAGAAAGTAGTAAAACAAAAAAAAAAAAAATGAAAAGAAAATTGCAAATAGAGTCGCATCACTTTTCAAAATACAAATAAATCAATTAAATACATATTAATACATAAAAAAATTAGAATTTTTTTGCATTCTCCAACCAAGCTCACCCACAAGACTTCCATAGCATTTTAGTCCCTAACTTATTTTTCATGACATGTAAGTCCTCGGCCAATTAAATACATTTTGGTTCTATATAAGATAGATTTCACGATAGATAGTATATCATTCGACTTCCTTGTTGAGGTTTCTTCCCGACCCTCGTTTCCTTTTCATTTTCTCCAACTTTTGACTTACCAAGGAAGAGGATGACAATTTTTATTTTTTATTTCATGTAATAGTTGAATGTAAGAATGTACTTGTCTTTTTATCAAATAAACTCACATTTTAATCATTTACAAGGACCCATATTGGAAAAAGTATAAACTGAAGGACTCATTTGCAAATATATTACGCAATTCTTTATGATAAATATAGAAAATTAAAGTATTATCAGGTAATGTATAATGTAACTAATGGGGGTGGGGTCCGTGTGCTTTATTTTGGAAGGTTCTTTTAATAACTTGTAATAAAAACTATTGGATATCATATCCAATTTTACACGTCAACTCATAATCACACTAGTATACATAACTTCAACTCAAATTATTATTGAAAAATTTGCATTAAAGCACCCTTTGTTTAAAATAGCAAGTTATATTCAAACTTTTAAAAAAGATGCAAATTGATCTTCAACCTTTCTAGTTAGCCGCATATTGAGTCCTTAAAAGTTCAATTGATTTTGATTTAATTAAAATCACGAGGGTGTGAGATTGCCCGACTGAGCGTTGCTATTTTTTTTAAAGTATTTTCGGTTAATGCTAAACGGGAGCTTAGACGGGAGCTAAATCGGTTAAACGGGAGCTAAACAGTCCCTATTTGATGGGGATTAAAATCAACATTTTAGTATATTTTGATAAAAATTGATGGAATGCATGGTTGAAAAATTATGAATCTTGTGAAATATGTCGTTAAAATTAATTGAATCCTAAAATTCTTTCCCAAGTAAAAATCAATTTTATAATGTTATTTTCAGATACTAATTTCAGTATTTCGAGTATTTACATACAATACGCATACCAGAGTATACAAAAGCAAATAAAAATTGTAATGACCAAATATATAAAAACTACGTGTTGTATATATCAATCGTAAATTTCTTTTGACACCAAAAACAAGAACCTGAAGAATATTTCTCTAGAGAAAATACAAAAAAAAATCCAGAAAACATTCAATTTATGTAAAACAGTTCATTCATCCAAACGCTGTTTCTTTCAAGGAATAGGACTTTCATCTTCTGGTAAGGCGGGGAGGTTCAAGTCGAAGTCGTGAACCACGTGCCCATTGCTGTTGCAGTGGCTGGAGGCGCCGCCCGCGGATGTCATCACATTGGTTTTCTTGCAGCTGCTGATCAACTTATCATAGTGCCGCCGCATGTGGCCACCCAAAGCCTGGCCAGTGGAAAAAGTCTTGTAACATTTGTGGCATTCGTGAATCCTACCGCTTGGGTTGAGATAAGAGACATTAGAGGCAATGGTGATTGCAGTTGTGGTGGCGAATTGAGCCCTATCACGGTGACTGGTTTTGTGGCCGCCGAGTGCTTGGTACGTGAGAAAAGATTTGCCGCACACGTCACATTCGTGCGACTCGTGATTCTGGGCCGGCGGAGAGGCTGTGATAGTAGGACAAAAGGGTTCCGTTGATTTCTTGTCATCACCGGTGGAGGCTAAAGCGCCTGTTCTCTCACTAGTGCTAGCGACGGCGGGATTTACGTCTTCCACGATTTCAGCGGCGTCGGGACTGATGGTTGGACAAGTAGCGGTGGCGAACTGAGAACTATCAAGGTGGCTTATTTTGTAGCCACCGAGTGCTTGGTGCGAGAGAACAGACTTCACGCAGACGTCACACTCGTGTGACTCATGCTTCTGTGCCGGCGGAGAACATTGTTCAATATCCTTAATGACATTGACGGAGTCCGAAGCGGAGATTCTTGCGGTGGTTGTCGGGGCCTGCTTCCTCCATTCCACCGTGGTTGTTGGACGGATCCAGTAATCTTCGTCGCAACGTGAAAGCCTAAGGAGGGCGAGGGCTGTGTATTCAACATCTGTTGGTTTGCGATAAAAATGCGATCGCTTTCTTCTCTTGTTGAATGATTTTATTTCTTCAGGAACCATATTCACTGCGATTTAATTGTCGAAGGAAGGAAGGATTGATTTCAGATTTTGAGGATTACAGTGTTGGAAGTATGAGAGTGTGAATGTATTTATAGAGTTTTCAGGGGTGTACTTTGGAGTGGTTAAGCTATCATATTTCTACTGGGATGGAATTTGGTAAGAAATTCAAATCTTAAATTGAGGAATACCGTTACACACGTGGCATTACTTGATCAAATTTCCTTAATTTGGTTCTTACCATATCTTCTCTCTCCATTACAATCCTAACCGAAGATTTTGGGACTACATTTTATGGGACTATTTGTACAGTCGAGGTTGACAACCTCTCACATGTGTGTGGGGTCCGCATATTTAAACAATTCAAAAAAAAAAAAGTGGACCCCCCATATGAGTGGTTGTCAATCTCGATTGTACAATTAGCATGATTCATATTTTACACTAACTCAATTCTGTGTTACACTAACATAAATTATCAATTATGAAACTTGGTATTCTTCTCATTTTGTATATTTTATAAATAAAAATATCAGGAGTGTTGAATCGAGATGTCTATAGGTTCGAAGCGGCCAACAATTTCGATAGGATTGTGCTAGGCAAGCCAGTGAAGGATATGCGCATTTCCTACTGCGATTAAACACATCATCGTACTTGAATTTTGTGACATCTCTTATGTTCGTGTCTTTTAGGCGACGTGTTCATTTGCTTATTGTAACGAAAAAAGTTCTTCGACATTTAAAACTTTTAAATTTGTTTGCTCGGTTGATCTCTTGATGTAATTCTAGAGGTTAGACTCATGTCTTCCTCCCGCTTGTACTTTGATTTGATCAATAAAATAGAATCGAGAAATCCAAACCTCCCCATTCTGTCTTGATTGAGGCTTTAAAATCCAGTCTATGCCTTTGATGGTTTTTATGCTAGAAAAAAATTATTTTAAATGTGTCATCACATTTCTAAAAGGTATTTTTTAATGTTAATTGCCTTGATAAAATTATGAAAAATTATAGTGGAGTCCTAATCTTCTAGGAAATATAATATTTGGGTCTGTAACTAATGTTTCTCGACACCTGATATAACATTTGATTCCCTTATTATGGTTTCGCCCCTGCCCCAATTTTCCTTCAATTTCTCCAACTTCGGAGTTTTGACTAGGAAAATGGTAACACGATGGGATGGGATGTGATGAGATGGGATGAGAGGGGAGGGGAGGGGAACTTGTTTTATTTTATTTCTCGTAATAGCTGAGAATAAGGATATAATTGTCTTTCCATCAAAACATTCACTTTTTAATCGTTTAGAAGGATCTACGTACTAAATATGTAGTAGCACGAGGACTTGAAATAAAAAAGGTATAAATTGAAGGACTCATGGCGTTATTTATTTATACTAATGGCCCATATGGGGTGGGCTATGTGTTCGTTTGAGCAGAATTATCCTCTTTTAAGTTGACTTTATATTTACCAACTCGATAATATTAGACTTGATTAAATCGGTTAAAAAGTAATAGAATCTATGTCATCAAATCCAATTTTACGTGTCACGCTGCAGCTTCAACTAAAGCTATCATAAATATATACACAGTTCATGTTTGGTATAGATTAAAATCATATTTTTAGTAGATTTTAATAAAAGTTTATGAAATGTTTGGTTGAAAAGTTGTAGATCCCATAAAATGTATGATTAAAATTAACTGTTGACTTTGACTTAAATTAAATTCTATCTTTTAAAATGAAGATTTGATCCCTAGTTGTTGAATTATGTTTTGATGTGTGAATCTATCATGTATTTACAGATTTCAATCAACACCCACGAAATAGTGTAAAAAAACTATGAAAAATTGCTAGATTTTCACCAAAGGCCATCAAGAATTCAAACAAAAACTATTTTTCACCAAAGGCCATCAAGAATTCAAACAAAAACTAATCTCAACGGCTATTTTTCAGTTCTATGCGACCGCATATAATTCTATGCGGTCGCATAGATTAATCACTCACGGGGCATATAAACCCTGCATGTACGGTCGCATAGATTAACCACTTGCGGGGCATACCCTACATGTTTATGTGCGACCACATGCCTTTGGCCTATTAAAAGCTTATTTTATATATTTTGAACAACCATTTCAAGGATTGGAGGGAGAGANATCACGAGATGAAGACCCGTTGAAAGAACACATATCAATGATTAGGTGCCTGAAATTCATTAGGGAGCACGACCTGTCACGTGCTAAAGTGTACATAATTCGACCTAATCCTTCCATTTTACTGTGCCCCAAACACAATCATAAGCACATGTTAAGTCTGGAAGACATCAGAATAATGTAATCTCTCATTTCACTTATTGTCCAACAAATTGTACAACGCTATATGACTCTACCTTCAATGGAGATGCAATGGGAAGGCGTATGAATCCCCAGGCAACTCTTCCAGATGAATGGTAATTGAGCTTCACTTTTAAGCACGATCGTCGCTAACATGATTAGGAACTTCCTTTTGACTGTCTAGAGGCATGTATTGTGCCATTATAGCCCTGATTTCTGAGTCCATGTATGACTGAAAATACAACCCAAGAGACAAGTATAATAAGATATACATATTTTCTGGTTTTGGATTAAGCAAACAGAAATCCTTCAATTATGTAATAATAGACTAAGAAACACACTTTAATGTACTCCCCTGAGATGAACATAAAAGAAGAAATGAAACAGCCTTCTTACATTTATTGAAGGTCCCAAATTTATGTATTCTTAAAAAGCCTCGAGACAACTTGCAGAAAAAGTGGGGTACATAAAAAATGTATTGCAACGATATATTTGTACAAATATATCCAATAGCAACTTCGTGTTAGCTGTGTCTTTGCACAACATTTATGAAAGCAGTAATGGGTGAACCGGCTAAAGTTGCAAGAGAAGAGCTTGAATACCAATTTTACAGGCAATAGTTGAAAACGAGTGTATCTTCAAAACTCGTCCTTTTACCCTCCCAACTTCAAATCAGATGTTTAACACAAGAACAATAGGATTTCTCTCTTCCCACAGAAAAGAAATGGAAAACGAAAAGTCTCATCATCCTTCCACCTCATAAATTGGTAAAGCAGAGTCTAGAAATTTATAATCAGAAGTTGTGGAAATGATGAAAATTTTGAAACCATAAAATTTCCAATTGAACTTGAACCTTAATATTGCTGATTATTTCTGTAGAACTATGATATATGCTTGTTTTCTTCTAATTATGTTTAAGAATAAATTATTTTTAGACAAGGTAATAGAGGCTAAACAGCCAGAATGGAGAAAGTGACAATTGAGATTCTTGCAGTAACATCAAACTTTGATGGTCAAAGTTAAAAGAAACCATGATGAATACACAAAAAGTTGTGAATAGAAAACTTGCCCTCAATCTATATTTGTACACGAGATACCCCCCACCAGCAGCCATTGCCAATCCAATCAAAATAACCCAAACAGCAGCCCACGCAGATTTTACTTCAGTAGCTCTCTTACCTGCACATGCAAACAGGAATTGGATATGCACTGTTTAAGCATAAGCAAAGCAACAACAATTTGCAAGTGATCTCACTTATGCAGGTATCATGGTCCCGGATATACAACAGGTCCCCGCTACAAGTGCAATCATAACTGCCCCATGTATCCTTGCAGCTGCATTCAGGGCATTGGCAGGCTTTCTTTTCTTTACATTCATCAATATCTGTATGGTTAGAAGAAATTATACAAAAATACAGGTTAATAGGAAAGCAATTTACATAGTTGAACAAGAACTGCTTGAACTGTCAGCTCCAGTATTATACTGATAGGAACCTAATCTATATTGCACTTTTGTGTATTTATTGAATGGAAAACTGAAAGGAATCACAATAAACTGAGAACCCACCCCTATTTTGGCCCAGCACTTATTCCTTAAATTTCCCAAATACCGCCAACAAACTAACCAACCAATGAGCATCAATGGGGGTCTATCATATATCCTTTTGGCTTGTTTGTTAGAGAGGATGAGATAGTATTGGAAGGTATCAAGGACGTGAATGAAGTTGAAATCTTGTTTAGTATACTGTACAGTCCTCTAGAGTAATGTGTACCAAACAGGCACTATATCTAACCATCCATTCATCATCTTATTCTCAATATACAGTTTTATAACCTTTATCTAGCCACCATTTCATTATCTTATTCAAGCATAGTTGCCATTTGAATAAGCTTAATACGTCCTCCAAAATTAGCATGTCAAGTTATTATATCAGAACAATGAAAGCTTTTGGCCACAACTTGCTAGTCGATATGCATAAGAAGTAAGAACTAATCCTTGATCTAATAAACTGGGAGACAGCGACAAGAATCAGTTTCACAATTCAGTTCAAACTTAAACTCTTACCTTTACAACTGTTAACACCATCACCTTTAAATCCAGGAGGACACGTGCATTTTCCTTCCTCGTTATCCTATTGAAATATTTTTGTAGATTTCTGTCAGAGCTAAATTTAACAAGGGAGAATTTAAGCAAAATGAATGAATAAACTACTGACCATGCAAGCAGAGAAAGTAATTCCATTTCGAGTTTCATGCCAACACCCTCCATTATTGATTTTGCACCGACCGGGCCCACTTGCTATGAATGGAAAACTTAATTAAGATACAGTCTAATCACAGTAACTTGAGATGCTTGAAGAATGATTATTTAATGCTAAGATAAATACGAGACATGATACATCGCAAGATATTCAGAGAAAGAATCTATTATCCCATCCATGTGCAACTGAATTTTGATCTGGTACTGAGTTTAGGTGAATTGACAATGTAGGAATCGATGTAAAAAAAATTATTTTACCTGAGCAGAGAATACTCGTCAATAAGATGCAATAATAATAATCGATTTACATATGAAGCATGTGCTTTAGGGAAGGCTATTTTTGGGAATTAAATGTGCATTGTAAAGAGTCCATTATTTGTGGATGACCAAACAAGAAACTGGAGTCATTCAATTGTGGATTGA